GGCCTTGGTGTTATCAGCACCGCACTCTACCGAGTGAGCCACGGGCCGGCCCGATTCGAACATCTTTACACTTAGGATTTTCTTGCTCTCAAGTTCAGGTTTGATGCTTATTAAACTTCAAGGGGGCTGACAAGGCCTCAGGCAAGAGCATGCTGTCCCTGCCCTCCTATGACTGGAATTTTGAGGTCTCTGAGGAGAGCCGGCATGAAGACTGCCCATTGTCTACTGATGACTGGCAGTTGACTGGTCGCAGCAGCTCTGCACTCCTCTAGGGGAGTCAGAAGGAGGCTAGGCAAAGGCCGCAAGTCCCCACTCTCCTGTTCACTCACTCAGACCTTTATTGAGCACCTACGATGTGCAGCATTAGAGCTAAGTGATAAGTGAGACACATTGCGGAGCTCACAGAACAGGGCTCCCCTGCCCTTCCAGCCTATAGGACCTCTGGGGTGGCTCTTCCCCACTCCTTAATGAGTCCCTGACTTGTGTCTCTTTGTCCTCCTGTTTTATGTATAGGAAATTCCTGTGGTTTTATCATGCAGGTGACTAGCTTCATTGTTAATCTCATCCATTCTATTATGCAGACCAGTATTAAAATGTTTGTTTTGGTAATAAAGTTCCTAAAAATTAGAAAAACTATTTTCTGACTTCCTGATTGCTCCTTTTTCATAGCAGCCTGTTTGTGTTTTATGGTTATAATAACTCTTGATTCTCTTGGAGAATTCTTACTGGAGCTTACTAGAGTTTCTGTCTTCTTTCCTGAAGTATCTGTTTTCCCCAGAGGTCAGTACAAAATAAAAGCTGTCCTGTTTATCTTGGTTTTACTCTTCTGTGGTTTAGTATTTCATTTTATGATTATTAATTTATGATTCAAGAACCTTGTTATCAGTTCATGTTTATGAAAGAATAACGGGGCTCATGGTCTAGGAAGCTGAACTGGTCCCTATGGGCCTCTCCCCTAAATGGGAGGGTGACCACCACTCTCTGCAAGAAGCTGGGCATGGCCTAGCTGGGCTTCCCTGAAGGACATCTGCATTGAATGTTTCCAAACGCAGTTTTAAAAATGACTGTGATGATTGCCCTCTTCTCCCCTCCCCAGAGCCATGCATTTCTCAGCCCTAAGCTTGGTGCTTCTACCCTGGCAAGGCTTACCCCACCACTGAAGTTTTGGGTGGGTTTTTTGTTTCCTCTCAGCCCGTATACCTGTCTGCTTTCTTCCAACATGTGCTGCAGCCTGCTGCTGTGCCACTGCCTTGCTCCTCTGCGTTGTTACAGCTCCCACCTTGTCAACTCAGTGAACCCTTGAGGGGAAGGGAGGGGGAGATGCATGTGCCTCTCTTGAACTGGCTGTTTTAATGTCACTTTTTGGAAAGAAACAAATTTGGAAGAAATGTATGGGAAGCATATTTTCTTATCTTTGTTTTTCCAGTTGTGATGGGAAGGAATCCAGAATAATTCAGTCTGCACTACCCCATCCCAAAGACTCATTTCAAAATTGGTTGTTTGGAGTTCAGATGGCATGATCCTGTTTCAGCTGGTGTGGCACAATGCACACAAGGTAGAATGCAGGCCGGGAGCTTGTGCAGGAAGGGCACATGTCCAACAGGGACACTCTTCCTTATGTGCAGCACTTGTCAGAGTTCACAGAACTCATTCAGCATTATATTCAGGTATTGGAGCTCATTTTCTTTAGGAAGAAACAATTAGTCAACTGCTGGATGCCAGACAGTCCGAAATGTGCAAAAGAAATTCAAGATCTAGTCTCTGTCTTCAGAAAGAGCAGTAGTGACTCATTTGTCTGTCACTTTGCACTTTCCCAAAGTTCTCTTGCACTAGTTTTTGCCCCAGAGCCTCCGCCTTACAGAGGAGGACAGTAGCTCTCCAGAGACCAATGACTGAGTTCACAGAGGTGGAGCTGAAACTCATTTTCCACTCAATCTCGCACTATCTTCAGATGAAAAACACCCAATTAATTATTAAATACACAGTTTGTATTTTTTTTGCATCAATAAATAGGTTTCAGAAGCATCCAGTACCATCTAGCATTAGGGAACACCTTGTTCTGCAGCATTTGCACAGGCCCGGTAGTCATTAGGGCTGGCTCAGGACCCAGGAAGAAAGCATGAAGCAGGACCAGGAAGCTGCCCCACCTGATCTGTTCCTTTGGAAAGAATGTTTGCCTTCAGAAGCCATCTCAGTTTCCCCAACTTACGTGTTTTTTCAGCCCGATGGGTGCTGAAAGCAGATTCATTTTAATGGTTAACGACATTTGTGTGTGAAAGGAAAACTCTGAGTAATATTTGCTGACAGGCCCAGTGCCTTTGGGGTGTTTTGGAGATCTAGTATTAATAGGAAAGCCCTGAGACTCAAGCCACGTTTCTGAAGGAGCAGTCTCCAGTCATGCAGGCTCCCAGATTCTGGGAATGACAGGTAGCTGGACATGCCTTCCCCTGGCGAAGGGGGGCAGCATGGAGTCAGATGGTCTGGGGTGAGTGCTGGCCTAGTGTTTATGAGCTGTGGGACCCTTGACCAGTGACTCAAATCATTTGTTACCTCGGTTGCCATCCTCTGTATCGAGGACTATAATACATCTTTTGTAGAGTTTTTGAGGAACAAAAATAATATGTCTAAAGCTCACCTAGACCACCTAGTGGTGGTAACAGGTCCTTAGTGAATGGTTGCTGCTTTGACAGTGGTTTATTCCACTTCTGGAAAATTCTTACCCTGGACTCACAGGTGGAGCAACAGAACCATCTGGTTGAAGCAGGCTTGCTTTATTTGACACAAACGTGGCAGACTCCAGCCGGAAGAGCCTTTTTTGGCATCATAATTCAGTTATCCAATAGTTATTGAACACCTGTGCAGTGCCATGAGGCAGCTCCTGTAGTTCCTTTCTTGGTGGCGAGCATAGCTCTTTGGGTTGTGGCCTGTCCGCGTTGGTCCTGTTTGGCAGCTGATCCCCACTCAGGAGGCAGGAGCATTCAGGTGAGGGCACACTACAGCAGAGGACTAATGTTTGTCTTGACATTAGGGGCCTTTTGTTCCAGAAGCTCATTTTCTCCTAGAGCACAGGCTGTCCTGTGCCCTCTTCTCTTACCTTAGAGTTATTTGTAGTTCTAGGCACCTCAGTCACACATGTCCACTCCCACCCCCACTCAGGAGGGAATGAAGTGGTGCCTGGAACAAGCTGTGAGAGAAGAGGGCGAGTTCTGTTGTCTTTGGGTGATGGAACTATGGATAATCCTTCCCTTCTTTCCTTCCTTCCTCTGCCAAACTCTCTTCTCTGACTTCTCTACAGGAAACATGGATTACTTTTGTTTTTCTAAGTTATAAATACATTTAAAAAAAAAAAAGAATGTGTAAGTTGATTGGTACCTTAAACTACTTACATCAAGTATTGCCTTTTTTCTTGTCTTGTATAAATATATAGAGCAGACATCTTGAGATTTTATTTTGATTGTCATCAAGAATTTATTACCAATTTCACTTTATTTACAGTTTTAAAAGGGCAAAGTATTTCTTCTGTTTGCATTTGACAAAATTTGACATTTGAGGCTTTCCTGATTTTCCCATTATTCTAGTCCAGTTTAATTGTTTTTGAGTATTATTTAAAATAAATTAGGCTGGCTGGTTAGCTGAATTAGTTAGAGCACAGTGTTATAACACCACGGTCAAGGGTTCAGATCGCCGTACCAGCTAGCTGCCAGGAAAAAAAAAAAGGAAAAAAAGAAATTGAGGTCAGCACATGGACTATTTGTATTCCAATACTAGCTCAGTTCTTGAAATGTAGATATCTACTAAATGAATGAATGAGACTCACCAAGAACAGCTGATAATGGCAAGTCTTCCCCTCTTTCCAGTTTCAAGTTGACACAAGACCATTGTGTCACTAAGCCACATGATATTTCCTGGGCTCTGTCCTTACACTCCTCTCCTGACTATCTCTGAGCCTGAGCCTGGGTGTGGTTGGTGTGACTCAAGAGGTCATGTGGACCCAGGAATAGTGGTTGATCATTGTACCATTTTCAGTCAGTGGTACCAATCAAATCCCAACTATAAAAGAACAAATCCAACTGTGTTCATTGTGCAGAATGCTTCTTGTATGAGCCCCGAATGCTGAAAGCTGAGTCTTTTGCTTATGTGAAATTACCAGTTGTGGATTTCCAGGGATGGATGAGATTTCTTTGGCCTCCCTTGACCCATCTTGACCACGCTTACAGACAGGAAGCCCTTCTCCTGTGCATTTGAGCAGATTCCATCTGCCTGTAAGTCCTTTTCCTGATTTCTCTATACCATATGTTGGAAAGGACTCCTGCTTTCTTAATATTTTCATAGGGGGGTCCTTCAACTTCTCCCCTTTAGCAAGGGAAATAATCGCCCCTTTACGCTTGCGTGGTTATAATCTGTTACTCAGAAATGATGGATGTAGCTTGTATGTCTTTATCTTGCTGAGCCTCACACAGATGGTGTCAGTATCAACTGGTCTGAATTTGGGGCTGAGATGAGTACAGATTGTGGGGGAATGGGGATGCCCAACACGAGTGGCATGTGGTGGAAGCTCAGTGGAGAGTGCAGTTGGTGTGGATGGTGGGATTATTTCCACTCACATTTATCCCAGGTCCTGGCCCTGCTGGATGGGTAGGATGGATGAGGGCAGGGTGAGCCCGAGACATGGGCATTCTTCCTGCTTTTGCGTGTTCGCCTCACACATTCTGAGGAAGATTATCTGGTAAGGTTATCAATCAGTTGATCTAAGGACAGAGCGGTTCTTCAGAAAGTTCTTTGAGCTTCAATAAGATGTTGAGGTTTACTTGTTGATTTGAAATACACACATGTCAGTGCCCAGAATGGGTTGAAGTTTACTGGCTTTCTCCTACCCGAAGGAAACATTTTATAGTGTTCTGTACAGAAGACGATGGTAGAAATAGGAAGTTGTAAAATGGAGATGACTTGCTTTTTTACCTTGGAGATTTAAAAACCACAATGATGTTTTTCTTTTATAGATTTGTCTACAGATTTTGAGCATCTGAAGCTGACCCCTGAATCTAAGCATTCCCTGCTGCTCCCTCACCCTTTGAAGAAATGTCTGTCACTTATGATGATTCCGTTGGAGTAGAAGTGTCCAGCGATAGCTTCTGGGAGGTAATGCCTGTGCTTTCTTCCTGATGAATCAGATACCAGGCTGATGGTACCTGGCAGGCCTTTTGATTTTTTTTTTTTTGGTGGGGATGGGGGAGATGAACACACCCCAAAACCAACCAGGCGTTTGCAGTCAGATCTAGATGGCAGCAGAAAAGATGTGGACAGCTGTTTTTAGCCAGTTCGGGTATGCCCTGGCTACCAGTGAAGGCAGTGAACTTGAAAAGTATGACATTTAAAGAGGTTAGGGGTGTTTATTCAAGATCCTACCAATTTGTCCATCCTCAGCTCTTCCTTCTTATGTTTAGCCACTATGTGACTGGGAGAGACATGTACTAATTACCAGCCATAGCCTGAGAGGCAGCTTTACTTTTTAGTTTTGTATAGAAACACGACGGCTGTGCTGTGACAGCATGCTGGACACTGCAGGCAAGCGGCCAGAGGACCAAACAAACCGCCCTCGAACTTGTGAGAGCATCTGCCTTCTAGTCTGTGCCTGGGAGGAACTCCCTTCCTGATTGGATTATTTTATAGTCTTTGGAAGTCATTCTTCCTGTGTCCCACTTATTTTTCCTGCCTGCTTGTTAAAGGAAAATCGACTTTTAATCAAATTTTGTCTCCATGACAAAACCCCTGGAGCTTTCCTACCAGTTGTGGGCTTCATGGAGAAGTACTGGCTTTGCCACCCCTCCTTACACTCCCATCTACACCAGTGTTTCAGTAAATTTGATTTAGGATGCCTAGAAATTGTAAGTATGTATCCTTTTTTGATTTGTATATTATTGTAATTTACACAATCAACTGGGTTTGTGAACCGTATTACTCCTAGTATCTAAAATATTGTGGGTGATTTAATAAATTTTATATTTATTTTTTGCACTCAAAAAGTACTGGCTTTGAAGTTGTAAAGATCTGGGTTCTGATCCTGGCTGTGGAGTTATTAGCTATGTGACTTTGGGCAAGTTGCTTGACTGACCTGAGACCCAGAGTCTTCATCTGTGATGAGGGGATAATGTTGGCCTGCAAGAGAGGCTGCCAGGATAAGACACCCATTGGGTGCTTTCCTGACACACTCCAGTGGTGGAAGAGACAAAGGTGATGCTCTGGTGTTTGCTGGGGACTGGCATGAAGTAGTTTTATAAACCTAAAGCAATGACGTGTATAATTTTTTCTGAAATCAAATACCGTCTGATATTATTGTCTAATAGAGATAAGTGATCACAGGGGCCCAAGTTTTAAAAGAAAGATGGGCAAGGAGCTCAAATTTCTTTTTTTCTTTTTCTTTTCTTTTTTTTTTTTTTTTTTTTTTTTTTTTTT